CGTCACAATTTTTTCTTCATCCCTTCCCTACTTATAAAAACTGTTTAAAAAAAAAAAAAAGCACCAAAAAAATTTATTTCTTGCTTTGTTTTAGTTTGAAAAGTTTTCATTTTTCAAAATTATAAATTCTTGGCTTGTGTTTCTTAATAAGGATGTAAAATATTGACTGATGGGCTAATTTGGTTCATCGTATAGTGGTAATATGTGTGGTTTAAGGAGCTGAGGACAATGCTGTATGCGAGTCTTCCACTGTACATGGAGCCTAGTAACTGTAATCTTCTAAGGTAAACTAAAAGTATTTCAATAATTGTAAGAACAGAGCAAACGTAATTCAATACCGTCACAATTTATCTTTATTACTTTTTAATCTTTTTTCTATTAGCTATAATCAATAGTTATTTCATTTTCTTTCTGCAAAGTAATGACGCAGTTCATGTTAAATACATCAATCAGTACGGTTTTACTGACACATTTTTTCTCTTGTGGATTCATTCTAATTTTTGAATTATGATGTAAGTCTTGTAAATGCATTTCCATGCTCTTCCAATTGTTCTCTATCACACATGGCTATGTAGAATTCATGAATGCAAAGAAGTAGATATGTGGAAGAATATCATTATGTCATTCAATAATTAAGAGACAAATGTGTCTGGATATAAAAACAATGGGTAGTGAAATTTGGTAATTTTTAGGCTTTAACGTTGACATCACTGGGATGAGCCCTGAACATCGTGGAGGACAGTGGTTGTTGTGTTTGTACTCAATTAGAGTTGAACAAAACCACCTCACACACAGCCGCTCACACGCATGCATCACTCCCCAATGCTTAATCATAATGATTCAGTTCATGGAATTTTTTATGCAGTAGAATTTCTGTATATTAAAAATGTCAGGTTTTGTTTTCATTTACTCTCTAGATTTTACAGATGTTATGTTGGATCAAAACCATATTTTTACTTTCTTGCATACTGCTATCTTATTATCAGAGTATGTAATTGTACGCAAATAAAAGCATTTTTGGTGACAGAAAAATAATCTTTTAGGTGTACTTGATGTCCGAAATGTGGATATTTTTTTTTTGCTTGCTTATATGAAGTAAATTATTTTAATTACATGTGTAAGTCGGGATCCACATTTTATGGGTTTCTTGATTACCTAAAAAATATGGTTTTCACAAAACATCTATTGTAAATAATGCTACTGGGAAATCTAAAAGGATTTTCAGTACAATAGATATTCCCTGATTGTTTGACGTACCGTTCAAAGCTCTTTAATGAAATGTAATATTTTTATTTTTGGTGTACTTTTACAAATGAAGACTCAATGACATTTTCCCACATTTTATCAAGTGGCTCCAATATTTTTTTATTTATTATTTTCTTGATAGAGTTTACAGAATGCATATAATAAAAGGTGCAGGTCTGATTTTTTGTTGAAATCCAGTATTTTTCAAAAAACATTGCAAATGTTTTTTAGGGTCTTCCTTCCAACTACATATTAAGATAGTTTGGTTTTTCTTAGTAAAAATTATTCTTTTAAGTTTGACTCTTTAAAGTCATTTCATGCGACATTTGGTTTGAATAATGATGAGATGATTCTTGTTAATTTTTGAGTAATGTAGGGACATGTTTTGTAAGTTATGGTACACTTTACTTTAATCCATGTTTTTTTACCTTGAATTGGGCAATGTTGCTTATACAATAACATTTGTCTGATTTTCTTTAACACTTGCATTTAAAAAATTACAAATATTCTCTTCTTTTTGAGGCATCAAGGAATACTGTGTATCTGACTCAGGCATTTGAATATAGTAGGTGAAGTTGGAGTGCGTGGGGATAACTAAGGTAGCTGAGATGAATCTCAGCTGGCCATCATTTTTGCATGTTGATAATAACGATCATAATAAATATAAACATTATATTCAAATATTAAAAAATTATCACTCTTCTGAGAGAGGAGAAGTTCTGACACTGGTTAAGAAAAACTGATTCAAACCCTGCAGTAACAAGATTAATACGTAGATTGTATTTTTTGTTGGTATTCAATTGACTGAGTCATCTTTTTTTATTAAGCTTCTATAGAATAGGTGTTTTTGAGTATTGAATAGTATTATTTTTATCCTGTCAACTGCCTCGATTAGAAAGCTGATTTTGTTGTTTTTTTTTAGACACTGTGGAAGGCTCTGTACGATTCTATCAAAGCCCGGCAGGAAGACGAGTTGTCTTTTGCCAAACATCAATATCACTAACGTAGTAAAGAAGAGGGGGTGGTGGAGAGGAGACTATGGAGCAAAAACTTCACTGGTTTCCGTTCAATAATTGGATAAGTTGAACCGCAAGGACAACTGGGAGACGTGTGAGTGATTTGCGGCTTCCTCCAGATTGATGCATAATTTTTTTCTTCGCGCTTCAGCAGTTTTCTTTTTCTTTATTTATATCATCATCATCATCATCATCTTCATGTTCAGTGGTTATTGTTTTATTTGTTTCTGCTGCTTGTATTCAAATTAATAAATTGCTGTCTTGATGGCTAGCTTGTGTTTATAGGCAAGATCTTGTCTGGAATCAAGAATTCTCTTTCTCAAATATGATGGATTTTCTTGTTTAATTGTACAAACACATAATATTTCTCATAAATGGTATCCTTTTACATTATTAATTATATTGTATGTACTAATGGTCCTTTTATATGGTTAAGATTACACAAGTCAGCTTTTTTCATGCCTTTGGGATACATAGTCAAATGTCGATGTAGGCACACAGATCTCATTAATTTTATTCAACTCTAAATTTATTAACCCTGGAGCAGGTGCATCTTTGTCACTCGGTTACTGCATGTGGTGACATTTCATTATTATATTTTAAATTTTTGTTCATAATGAGGAACAAATAATGTTATAGGTTGATTTTGATTTATCCTGTAATAACAAGTATTTTGTTAAATAAAAAAAATTTACTTATGATATATTAGCAATGTGTAATATCAACACAATATTAAGTGCAAAAACCATTGTAAAGTGAAGTTTCCATGAAATTATTCAAGAAATCATTCCGATTTCATTCCTGAAATATATTACATCTTCGTTTTCATTCTTCAATACTACAGTTATGTAATGTGGTTGACATACACAAATTTCCAAATGTTGATTACCTTATTGCAATATTTGGTTTCCACTTGTTCACAAAGTATTCACGAATTCCTTCCTTTTTCATTAATCGTGAATCCAAAACTGAAAATGTTTTTAAACTGGCCTAAAATAGTTCCTCAATAGTAAAAGTATTTCCATCCTAAAGTCTTTCTCTGTTTGACAAGTGGCATGGTGAATTCTGTTCAGCACAATGTAGTCTTTGAGAAATAATGAGTGTATAAACTTACTCCTCTAACACATTATACAACTGCACTGGGGGATGAGAGCTGTTGCAGAAACATACCAAGGGGTGGTGTATTGTTGAATTTTCAGGAATGAGAGATGCAAAAGGCTTATTGGTGTATGCCATTAACCGATTTAGGGTTAAGTCTATTCAAGATTTTTAATCTATTGGCAATATAGTCTGTTTAAAACAGATGATGTCCTGTATCAATATTCAGTTAAAGATAATGTGATTCTGAAGCATAATATAAATATAGATATGATGAGATGATATTGATATGAAGTGTGATGTGATATGTATATATGATGTGATGTGATATGATAATGAATGTGATGTGATATGAATCATATGATAGTGATGTGATATGATATATGATGTGATGCGATGGTGATATGATATAGAGTGATATGATATATGATGTGATATGAGATATGATATATGATCTGACTAGATATATTGATATGATATTATTTGGCAACATGAGGCTAGTAGATCTTATATAGTCTACACTAAATCACTTGTGCTTTTTTTGATTCCATTCTTTCAATGTGTGTTGTTTATATATAACATTAAATCACAAAAAATTATACTAATTGTATTGTTAGGTTTGACCAAAACGGTGATGACTGTTTTGACAGGTTTTCACCTTAGGTTTCGCACCAAAGTTTTCCAGATATGGATTTGCAACTATCCAACGTATAAGTCAGAATTGAGCTGCAGCCCTCCAGATTGAAAATGTATATTTACTTAACAACGTTATTTTTCAGTCATCTACTCACTGTTGCTGGTTCACTGCAAAAAGGAGCTTGATGATGATGGGAGCTGTGGTTGAATTGCTAGTTGGGCCCTGATGGTTTAGATTGGGTTCTTCGCATCCATAATGAGACACTATGCATTAACATTTGATGCCAGCGTTTTCAAATCAAAGGGATGCCTGGAGTGATGGAGCAATTAAGGAAACTGCTCAAATGCAACCGTGAGGGGTAGGTGGATTTTCCATATTTTTTTTTGTTGCATTTTTAAATAGTTTCACTATGTTTGTATAAATCTCCGATATCCTGAATGAAAATGTCTTCATGACTAATTTAATGACAGGAACTAGACATAGAGAAATGAAAATAAATGCTGTGCATAACAAATGAAGGCAATCTAATCATTTATTGCCGTGCTGTATCTTTCCAGCATGACAATTATTAACCAGAATGGTTTCAACCAACACTGAAATGCTTCTTTTCTGAACCAAAGCTGAAAAATTTATTTGTCAGAGCTGAACAAGTTTTTCTTGAAATACCAATAGGTGAGTGAATCTTTGTCATGGGTGTGCATGGTGTGGTGTGCATGCACAAGGGCATGGGTGGTGGTGCGCTCTGCTCTGATGATACAATGTTCAAAGAAGTGGAATACTCTTCTGTCAAACACTTTGGCTTTACATCTCTTACTTCATCCCGTCCAACCTTGCCTTTGCTTTCTGCGCTGCGCCTCAATATAGAATAGCTAGTGATTGCTATTCTGAAGTAGTGAACACTGCCTCTCCAAGATAATCCTGTTCGCTAAAGCTTCACTGCGGTAAGGTAGTATAATCTTCAGTGTAGCAGCACTGGATTGAGAGGAGAAAGATTGTATGCAGCTTCACTTGTCCTGTGGGGTTGTCGAACAATGCTTACTCCCTCGCCACACATTGAAGTCCCCTGCTGTACAAGGGGGCGGGATCTCTAGTTCTGTGAATAATGTGTGGGGATCGCTCAACCAATCAAATGTTGTGATATGTACTCCATAACGCTGTGTAGATTTCTCATCTATTTTAAACTAATATAAATCAACCTCAACTTGTGTCATGACTTTGAAATGGATGATTCACATGCTAAATGCTGCTTTTATTGTGATCAGGCCACAATATGAATCATGCAGAGTTGCATTGTTTTCCCTTCTAACAACATGTCCGCACAACTCATTCTCTGACATCTGCCTTCTTGGTTCCTTGCTGGATATACTGGCAACTTTTCAGTGCTTAGATTTATTTGAATGATTTCATCAGGATCTGTCGCACTAATAGCTTTTTAATGCTGATTGGTAGGACCCAAATGTTGCACTATAGCACGGTTTGGTGTTTTGTCCTTTTACATACTACAGGCACTTCAGATCACTTCCATGATGTCTTCCAAGTGATCATTTTGTGTTTTATGTGTGTGATTAAGCATGTGGGTCTGGGGTGCAGGTGCACTGTGTGCGTGTGTGGCGGCTGCTCTGCGTGTGTGCGTGCGCGCTTCGCTTGCGTGTGTGCGTGCCGCGCTCGCGTGTGTGCGCGCTCGCTCGCGCGCGTGTGTTGTGCGCGCGCGTGTGTGGCGTGGCGTGTGTGTGGCGTGTGTGAGGCGTGCGCGTGGTGTGCGGGTGCGCGTGCGTGCGGGCGTGCGCGGTGTGGCGCGCGTGCGGCGTGTTGCGCGCGTGCGCGTGTTGTGCGAGCGTGCGGGTGTGTGCTCGCCGCGTGCGCGTGTGGTGGTGCGCTCGCGTGCGCGGTGTGTGGCGGCAGGCGTCGTGTGCGCGCGTGCGCGTGTGTGTGCGGCGCGTGCTGTGTGCGGCGTGCGTGTGTGCGTGGTGTGTGCCGTTCGCTGTGTGTGTGCGCGCTGGCGTGTGTGTGTGTGCGCGGCGCAGTGTTGGTTGTGTGCGGCGCGCGTGGTGTGTGTGCGGCGCGCGCGTGTGTGCGCGCGCACTTGTGTGTGTTCGGTGGTGTGGCGCGCGCGCTTGTGTGTGTCGCGTGGGTGTGCGCGCTCGCGTGTGTGTGTGTGCGCGCGCGCACACACACACTAGTAATATTTTTTACGCGCGCGCGCACACACGCGCGCGCGCGCACACACGCGCGCGCGCGCACACACACGCGCGCGCACACACACGCGCGCGCGTACACACACGCGCACGCGCACACACGCGCACGCGCACACACGCGCACGCGCACACACACGCGCACGCGCACACACGCCCACGCGCGCACACACGCGCACGCGCGCACACACGCGCACGCGCACACACACGCGCACGCGCACACACGCGCACGCGCACACACGCGCACGCGCACACACGCCAACGCGCACACACGCGCACACACACGCTTTGGACTCTCAAAAAATATTCTAGTCCTTAGTTATTTTCAACATACAGTCGCGCGCACACACACACGCGCGCACACCCACGCGAACACACACACGCGCGCGCGCGCACACACGCGCGCGCGCACACACACGCGCGCGCGTACACACACGCGCACGCGCACACACGCGCACACGCGCGCGCGCGCACACACACGCACACAGGTGCACTGCACCCAGACCCACATGCTTAATCACACACATAAACACAATAATGATCACTTTGCGAAGACATGCATGAAGGATTTGAAGTGCCTGTAGTATGTAGAAAAGGACAAAAACACCAAACGTGCTACTAGGTGCAACATTTGGGTCCTTACCAATCAGCATTAAAAGCTATAGTGGACAGATCCTGAGAATCATTCAAATAAATCTGAAGCACTGAAAAGTTGCCCAGGATATCCTAGCAAGGAATCAAAGAGGCAGATGTCAGAGAATGAGGTTGTGACGGAGGCATGTTGTTAGGGAAGGGGGAAAACAATGCAGACTCTGCAATGATTCATCATTGGTGCCTGACCACAATAAAGCAGCAATTTGGGCATGTGGGAATCATCCATTTCAACATGTATTGACACAAGTTGAGGTTGGATTTGTATAGTTTAAAATAGATGGAAGATCTACAGCAGTTATGAGTACATATCACAACATTTGATTAGGGTTGAGCGATTCCCCACACATTTAGTTCACGATACTAGAGATCCCTGCCCCCTTGTGACAGCAGGGGGACTTCAATGTGTGGGCTGAGGAGTAGCATTGTTCGACAACCCACAGGACAAGTGAAGCGTGCTACAATCTTTCTCTCTCTAAAATGCAGTACTTGCTACACTGAAGATATACTACCTTCCGCAGTGTAGCTTGTAGCAAACGAGTATCTTGGAGAGGCAGTGTTCACTACGTTCATAGCAATCACTAGGCTATTCTATATGAGGCGCAGGCGCAGAAAGCAAGGCAAGGTTGGACGGGGATGGAAGGTAAGAGGATGGAAAGCCAAAGTGTTTGACAAGGAAGTATTCCACCTTTCTTTGGAAACATTGTATCATCAGGGAGAGCACCACCACCCATGCTCTTGTGCATGCACACCAACACCATGCACACCCATGCAAATTCACTCACCTGATGGTATTTCAAGAAAAACTTGTTCAGCTGCTGACAAATAAATTTTTCTGCTTTGGTTTCAGGAAAAGAAGACATTTCAGTGTGGTTGAAACCATTCTGGTTAATATTGTCCATGTTGAAAGGTACAGCACGGCAATAAATAATTAGATTGCTCATTTGTTTTGCCACACGGCATTTATTTTCCATTTCTCTATGTCTAGTATCCTGTCATTAAATTAGATGAAACATTTGCTCATTTCAGGATTATCAGAGCATATTATACAAAACATGTGAACTATTTAAAATGCAACAAAACAAAATATGGAAAAAATCACCTACCCTCACGGTTGCATTTTGAGCGGTTTCCTTAATTGCCTCCATCCACTCCAGAGCATCCCTTTGATTTGACACAGCTGCATCAAATGTTATGCATGTGTCTGCATTATGGATGCGAAGAACCCAATCTAAACCATGGGGTCCCACTAGCAATTCAACCACAGCTCCCATCATATCCAAGCTGCCTTTTTGCAGTGAACCCAGCAACAGTGAGTCAGATGACTGAAAAATACATTTGTTAAGTAAATAATACATTTTCAATTTTTGGAGGGCTGAGGCTCAATTCTGCTTATACGTGGATAGTCAATCCATGATCTGGAAAACTTGTGGTGCAAACCTAAGGTGCAAAACCTGTCAAACACAATCTTCTATCATTTTGGTCAAATCTAACAAACACAATTAGTATAGATTTTTTTGTGATTTTATGTAAAACAAACACACATTTGAAAGAATTGGAATCAAGATAAGCAGAAGTTGATTTATAGAGTAGACTGTAAGAATCTACTAGCCTCTGTTGCCAAAGTAATATTATATTATATTATTCTCAGAATCACACTTCTTTACTAAATTATTATTCCAGGACATCATCTGTTTTAAACAGTCTTATTGCCAAAATAGATAAAAATATTGAATAGTAACTTAACCCTAAAGTTGGTTAATTGCATACACCAGATAAGCCTTTTGCTCTCTCATTCCTGGAAAATTCAACAAAACACCACAACCACACACCATCCTTGGTATCTTTCTGGTAACATCTACTCGTACCCCCGGTGTAGTTTTGATAATGTTTGAAGAGGAGTAGAGTTTATATTCATTATTTTCTGAAATACTACATTGTGTGAACAGAATTCACCATGCACCTGGCCAAACAAGAAAAGACTTTAGGTGGAAATACTTTTTGATATTGAGGAACTATTTTAGCCATTTTTAAAACATTTTCAGTTTTGGTTCAGATTAATGAGTAGAGGGGAAGGAAATTAGTTGCATACATTGTGAACGAGTGGAAAACCAAATGATGGCAATAAAGGTAATCAACATTTTAAATTTGTATGTCAACCACATTCACATAATGTAGTATGTAAAGAATGAAAACGAAGACGTAATCTTTTCAGAAGAAGATCGTTAATGATTTCTTGGAATAATTTCATGGAAACTTCACTTTCCAATGGTTTTTGCACTTAATATTTGTGTTGTATTACACATTGTAAATTAATCATAAGTAATGTTTTTTTTTAAGTTTAACAATATTACTTGATATTACAGGATAAATCAAAATCAACTATAACATTATTTGTTCTTATTATGAACCAAAAATTAAAAATAATAGGGGAGTGAATGGAATTCACTGCATGCCAGGTAATGTGAGTGACAGAGATGCACCTGCTCCAGGGTTAATAATTTAGTAGTTGAATAAAAATTAATGGAGATATGTGTGGCCTACATCAACAGTTTGACTCTGTATCCCATAGGAATGAAAAGATAGCTGACTTGTGTAATTCAAAATTGTATACAAAAGATCGTTATGTAGGTACATTATCATTAATAAATGTAAAAGGATACCATTTATGATAAATTATTATGAGTGTTTGAATAATTAAACAGAAAATCCATCATATTTGAGAAAGAGAATTCTTGGTTCCAAACAAAAGATCTTTGCCTAGAAAACACAATCTAGCCATCACGACAGCATTTATTATTTGAATACAAGCAGCAGAAACACATAAAACAATAACACTGAACATGAAGATGATGATGATAATATAAAGAAAAAGGAAAACTGCTGAAGCAGAAGAAAAAAATTATGGCATCATATTAGAGGAAGCCGCAAATCACTCACACTGTCCTCCCGATTGTCTTGGGGTTCAACTTCTTCCACATAGTTGCAAGGAAACCAGTGAAGTTTTTTGCCTCCATAGTCTCCTCTCCACCACCCTCCTTCTTCTTTACTCACGTTAGTGATGATTGCATGTTTGCAAAAAGACAACTCGTCTTCCTGCCGGGCTTGATAGTCGTACAGAGCCTTCACAGTGGTCTAAACAAAAACAACAAATCAGCTGTTCTAAATCAGGGCAGTTGGCACAGGATAAAAATAAAACATTTCAATACTCAAAAACACCTTTCTAAAGAAGCTTAATAAAAAAAGATGACTCAGTCAATTGAATACTCAACAAAAATACAATCTACGTATTTAATCTTGTTTACTGCAGGTTTGAATGAGTTTTTCTTGAACCAGTGTTCAGAACTTCTCCTCCTCTCAGAACATATAATTTTTTAATATTTTGAATATATGGTTGTTTATTTATTTTTATGATCGTTATTTCCAACATGCAAAAATGTTTGGCCAGGCTGAGATTCTATCTCAGGTACTTAGTTATCACAAGCACTCAACTTCACTACTACATCAAATGGCTGAGTCAGATACAAGTATTCCTGATGCCTCAAAAAGGAAGATGAATATTTGTAATTTTTTTAAATGCAGAGGTGTTAAGGAAAATCAGACAAATGTTATTGTATTAAGCAATCATTGCCCAATTCAAGTAAAAACATATTAAGATAAAGGTTTACATAACTTACAAAAATTGTCCCTACATTACACAAAAATTAACAAAATCATCTCATATTTTCAAAACAAATGTGCATGACATGACTTAAAGATCAAACTTAAAAGAATAATTTTTTACTAAGAAAAACAAACTATCTTGAATATTGTAGTTGAAGGAAGACCCTAAAAAACATTTGCAATTTTTTGAAAATTCACTGATTTCAACAAAAATCAGACCTGCACCATTTTTATACGCATTCTTAACTCTATTCAAGAAAATAATAAAATAAAAAATATTTGGAGCCACTTTTGAGAAAATGTGGAAAATGTCATTGAGTCTTCATTTAAAGTACACCAAAAATAAAAATATACATTTCAATTTAAAGGAGCTTGAACGTACGTCAAATCAATCAGGGAATATCTATTGTACTGAAAATCCTTCTTCAGATTTCCCAGTAGCATTATTTACAGATAGATGTTTTGCTGAAAACCATTTTTTTGGTATCAAGAACCCATAAAATGTGGATTCCGACTACACAATGTATTAAGAGGTAATTTACTTCATAAAGAGCAAAAAAATTCCACTTTTCGGAATCAAGTAACCTACAAAATTAGTTTTTCTGTCACAAAATTGCTGTTTTTTTGCTACATTACATACTCTGTAATAAATAGCAGTATGCAAGAAAGTAAAAATATGTGTTTTGATCCAACATAACATCTGTAAAATCAGTGAGAGTAATGAAAACAAAACTGACATGTTAATTGAAATACATACAAAAAATTCAATGATACTGGACATCATTTTATGATTACATTGGGGATGTGTGCATGCGTGTGAGCGTGCGTGTGTGTGGGTGTGTTTTGTTCAACTTAATTTTGAGGTTACAAACACAACAACACTGATCCTCCAGATGTTCAGGGCTCATCCCAGTGATGTCAACTTAAAGTCCTAAAATTACCAAATTCGTCCTACCCATTGTTTTTTCTCCAGACCAATTTGTCTCTTTAATTATTGAATGACATATGTATTCTTCCACATATCTTACTTCTTTGCATTCATGATTCTACATACGCATGTGATAGAGACAATGGAAGAGAATGCAATTTTACAAGACTTACATCATAATTCAAAAATGAATGAATCCACAAGAGAAAAATGTGTCAGTAAAACCGTACTGATGATGTTTTAACATGAACTGGCAGTCATACTTTGCAGAAAGAAAATGAAGTAACTTATTGATATAGCTAATAGAAAAAATTAAAAAGTAATAAGATAATTGTGAAGTATTGAATTACGTTTTGCTCTGTTCATACAATTATTGAAATACTTTTAGGTTTACCTTAGAAGTTACAGTACTAGGCTCCATGTACATGGAAGACTCGCATACAGCATTGTCCTCAGGCTCCTTAAACACACACAATACACATACGCTGAACAAATTAGCCATCAGTCAATTATTACATCCTTATTAAGAACATAAGCCAAGAATTTAATAATTTTAAAAATGAACTTTCCACTAAACAAGCAAGAAGATAAATGTGCTAACAGTTTTTATTAGTAGTGAAGAAATAATGCATTAGAAAAAATGTGGATGAAATTAATTTTTCTCAATAAATCTTAATTTGCAATGTCAGAACTCACCTGGCCAATGCGTCGGATAACTTCGTCATTGATAGGATAAGTAAGCTTCACCTTACGATACAACGGGTGGCGTTCGTAGTAACTGACTAGTTCAACAAGAGACTCAAATTGCACAGTGCCAATAATATAGAGGCGACCCTCCAGCTTTATTCGACAATGTTTGATCTTCTTCTCTGCACTGTATAAAACAGAGGAATCATCAATCACTTTCAAAAACACTTCCTTTATAACATTGCAATTAAATCGTTAAATTATTTAAACCTGGGATAACAGAAAGATTTCAATAGGAACAGGACCCCCGGTTATAAGAATTACAGTAAATTCTCTATAACAAACTTCTTTATAACAAGAAACTCTCTTTAACATTGACATTACTCAAGTTTGATTGATTTATCTTACAAGCCTCCCTTCAATTTAGAAGCAACTCTCTGTAATGAAATACTTCCTTGTTGTTCACATTTGTTTAGATGTCAATAAATCTTTATTAGTTTTCAAAAGGCTCCAACAATGAATAATTACAGAGTCAACATTTCTAAGAAAGGCAGCTGCTTTCAGACAATGCCATTGGTTTGTTGTGCTTTCCTCTTTTGTATACCCTAATGATTTGTTTTATTGCATTACGAGTTGTGAACCAACTTTTGAACAGAGAAGATCAGTAAAAGAAAATATTTTGGTGTTGGAAGTTTCTTTGATATAAGTGATAGAAAAGGGTGGAAAGAATATGATGCAAGATGTTTTGGACTGAGTCCATCTTTTTAAATTACCAGGGAAAAAAATGTGCAGGCTGAAACGTACAGCAGGGTTTGTAAGAAATTAAAAAAGCCAAAATGTAAAGAGTTAGGTGAAGCAATTCAGAGTTTTAAACAAAAAGCATCGGAATAATGTGCTTGGGACTAATAGTGAAAGCTGAGGAGAAGTTTGCTGAACTACTTGGCACTACAGATTTTAAGGAGTCAGAAGCGGTCTTGAAAAGTTTAAACATTACATTAGGGTGGTGACAAAATTTTTAAAAGAAATTTTCCATCTTCCAGTTTTCCAGACCTACCAATATCAATTTTCTCTGACTGTATTAAAATTAATAACAAGAAATCCAGAACACTTAAATTCTTGCCATCTCAACAATATTCACAAACACTACTTAAATAATCAAAACATTAGTGCCGAGTAGTAACAGGTAATTTACATTCATATGAATTGTAAAATTAAGAGTAGCTTCCACAGACAGCAGAACATCAGTTGAGCAGATTATCCGTCACAAATCTTGCATCATTAAAGCTGAGAGAGATTTTTCAAGAATTGAACCAAACACATGCTTGGGGTTCTGCAAAGGTGGGAGGCCTCCCAGGTGTGTTTTTTAACATTTTTCTTCTTCTATTTCTACCAAAAATAGCTTCTTTTAAAAAGTTCACAAATTACTTGTTTTATATTTTTGATAAATACTTTTTACAAAATAAATTTAAATATGCTTTAGAATGCTTTGTATGCAGAATGGACAATTACTTAAAATGGACCACTAAATATTTTTCTTCATCTGTAATTTAAAATACAGAGAGGTTAAGTTCAATGGGTAACTCTTCTTTATTATTTTTATTAAGATTTTTTAATTATCTACAAAGAAGTTAATGAGCCTTTCAGATAATTTGCTTACCTTAGGCAGTGAACACAATACTAATTTAATAAATTAACTCAATATTTTAAAAACCAATTCATGCCATTTATAGAAAAAAGAGTGTGGGTCTATCCCAGAAATATTTTGAAATTATAAATGTATATATATTTTTAAAAAACATTACAAGAGAGTAAAATGTATTATTTACAATTTAAGCAACAATACTGGCATGAACTTATCAGATTATTGAATGAAAACTTCAAAAATGATTTACTCAAAACAGCTTATTACTGTATAATATCATATTAAATGTCTGCTAGCATGCACCACTTGTCTTAGGGGATGTAAATGAATTACCCAGCGCAAACTTCAAAACAACAGCCGTTATCTCCAACCTACTTTTTCAGTTTGTCATCTGTTTCAGTCACTGTTGTTCTCAGCAAGTTACATGTTCATTATAGTTTTGTATCGCATCTGGTAATTTTCAGTCAACTAAAATACTACCAGATCTGTTAACTTTTGACAATGAGAAATTAAAAAGGAAGAACAGAGTTTTTGGGAGATAAAATCAACAGTTGATAATAAACCAAATTGGACTGCAGGGCAACCAACAAAATTACCATGTCAAAACTTCAAAACACTCACCGAAAAGAGATGGCATAATTGTACGATTCTTTCTCTGACGGTCGCACCAAGAACGCCCCATCAGAAGGCACTTTGCGCAACATGTCCTCAGCCTGCATGCGGGTGGCTGTAGGGTGGTACCATTCCTTGCCTTCGTGTTTGTTGGGCTGAGGAACGGGCTCTTGCAGCATTATCAGGAACTCCTGCACTCACCACAGTTTAATATAAGAGCTCTGTTTCTTCCAAAGAGTTTAGTTATCATTTCAGGGTGTGTCTCAAAAATCACAATCTAAGAATTCATATTATATAATTTATATCTCTTTTATATTTCCCTGTAAAGAACTCAAAAATATAATAATTCATTTTCTAGTATTTTTTCATTGAAGGTGAAGCTAGAGGTCAAAATTTCCAATCCAACTTCATCATGGTAATATTAAATGATGAATTTAATATGTGATTAATGTGTTTAACAGTGAATTTCGAGTATCTTCTGGTAAGAATGTGAAAGAACTGTTTACCCATTTCTTCCCAACAATGAGGTAATGCAACATTTAAAATATATAAATATTTTTTTAATATAAAATTATTCAATATAAATTTGTTTTGTATCACTATCACACAAAGAACGAATGCCATTTTATCAGTTTTTGATATTTTCATTCATAACAAACTGAAGACCTGAGAACAAGAACTAGATAATGACCATTTTTTGTGAAAATGAGATATGACTGATGCTACGTGCATTACTCCTAACATTGACGAAATGACAGATGAGGAAAATATAGATGATGATCTTCTGGAGGAAAAGAAGTAGAAGAAGAAAACTTAATTGACAGTGAATTTCTCAACTCAAGGAAAATACATAAAATTGCAAAAGAAGAAAAGATGTCCCAACTAGAATTTTCCTCTTACTTGGCCATGACCCTAATGAAATCTCAAGACTGCAAAAAAAAGTGAATGCAATAATGAGTCAATGAATACACAGGAGACTGAAAACTCCCTTTTCACAGACCCACAAACAAATCCCTAGCTAAAGATGTACATTGAATTGAATTTGCCTTATTTTACGTGGCGAGACTCGGGCCATCAAGCCCGCTCTTCCGCCTGACCACGCAAATTTCGCTACGCTCCTTTCATCAACTAGA